GAGCAGGGAGCCCTATGCGGGACTCGATCCCGGGACTCCAGGATCATGACCTGAGCCGAAGGCAGTCGCTTAACCAACTGAGCCACCCAGGCGCCCGACACTTTTATGTTTTAAATGAACATTTCTGAAGAACACCTTCAAAAGTTGTTTCAAAAGGAAACATAAATCTTCGTGGTCTGTGGGATGTGAATGTTGAATGTTAACATGTGACATATAATCATTCATTTAAACATAATGCTTTATGTTGTTTTAGTATATGGAGGTGAAATATGAATTAAATGATATGAATTTCATGGGTAAGAAAGTTTATTACTGTCCTGTAGCTACAGTTTCTAATACACTTGACCTTTTTCTTATTTCAGTGTCAGTAACATAATATCAGATATGAAAGTTGCCAAATCTGCTACATCTAGGGTTAGTACAAGACCAGTGCATCAAATTCAGTTTGATGAAGGAACTGACAATTACATGGGACAGAAGACTGATGCTCTTAAGAAAAGGTACTCAGGCTTTGCAGTTTGTTTGGTTTTGCTGGTTTTGTTTGTTTCTCTGTAGATTTACTTTATTCTGTGCATGTTATTGCTGATAGGTATTTGAGCATTATGGATGCATTTATGTCTGTCTTCTCTGCTTGTACCATTTCCCATAGAGGAAAAAGTGTTCTGGGTTTAGCAGTCTTATGCTTTTCTATACCATTAATCAAATTGGGCCCTGCCTCCCATTTATCCATGATGAATAGAGGTCTCCTGATTTAGGGTAAGTGGAGCTGATTGAATTCTGAACAAATGAACATTTTGTGAAAAGCATTATTTTTCATTCTGATATGTATATAACAATGTATATTTACATAATCTTTATATCTCTCTATATAATTATCATTATTCATACCTTAGAAAAATAATTCACCATCAAAAAAAGAAAGAAAGGAAGATCCATTATAATACCTTAAGGTGGTAGATTATTTGTGGCAATTTGAATTTGGTACTTCGCAAACTTAAAGATGTTAAGCCATGCCTTATGTAGTTATTTTATAATAAAAAGCTATCTGTATTTACAGAAAGTTTCTGTTTTCTCTCCTTCAAGCCCATGAAGTGATAGTTGGGGAGGGGGAACCAGATATTTAGTATGCTCTAACAAAAACCAACTGATCTTTAGGGGGTGCTTAGAGTTAGAGTATTTTTGATGTTATGTATTCTTTGGATTTTCTTTTAAGTAGAATCCCAGCAATTTGAGTTAGCTCCTTTCAGAAGTTAAACTACTAATTTGTACAGGAAAATTGTAAAAGATAGTCAACAGTTAACAAAGGAAGTTCAAGAAGTTACAATGACTTAGGGAGATTTTTGAATTACTAATTTAAAGTGATTTTGTACCTATGACATATTATTGGATAAAATATAATGTGTACTTGGAGTTTTACTTAAGATTCCTCAAGAATATTTAATTTCAGGGGTGCCTGGCTGGGTCAGTCAGTAGAGCATGCAACTCTTGATCTGGGGTTGTGAGTTCAAGCCCCGTGTTGGGCGTAGAGCTTACTTTAAAAAAAAAAGAATATTTAATTTCAGTCTTGTTTGAATCAGTCTTTTTTGAAATGATTCCATTTAACTACATCAGAATGCTATATCATAGTTTGATTCTTAATGGTATTAGCTGTCATTGAAAATTAGAAGGTGGCGGGGCGCCGGGGTGGCTCATTTGGTTAAGCGTCTGACTTTTGATTTCGGCTCAGGTCATGATCT